ACTCTCAGATTAACAGCAACAAGTCAGTTTTGGTTACTATCAATAATCCCAACCACTATCCAGAAGAAGTTCATGCGGGAATCAACAAAGAAGTAGTTAGAAAATTAGATAGAAGAGAGCAAGCAAGATTTCTGGAAATATGGATAGGTAACCAGAAAACTGCAATCGAACTCAAAAAAAGAGTCTTAAAAAAATCAATATTGTTATAAGAGTTCTTAAAAACAAGAAATTGATAAATAAGCAAGCCCTTTATATACTAATAGAGTATTGATTCTGAGAATAGAATTTAGAATGCAGCACAACATATTGTCCTGGAAAATATGCAATAACCTAACAGCTGTATATCATAAGCTCTTCAAAAACAAAGTAACTTTATATAGATCTATTCCCAATAGTGTAATTTACTATCCAAAAATATATAATCTTAAAAGCATATAGATGTTCCAAAAAAAAAGCCAAATACTATAACTGGACTTTATAATAGAATAAACAATAAGGGTCCAACAGAGTTACAACAATTATCAGATTAAAACAAATACAAATTAAGCACTGGGAGCCCCACAATCTCCTTTCATGTGAATCCCTAGATAATCTCGATGATAAAAGAAATTTCACATTACAAGTTCTAAAGTTAACTAAAGACTTGGAACTAACTTTTTGGAGCTGGAAGTGAAATAATATTTTCGAGTGGACCAAAGGCAATAGTCCAATTTAAGAACACCTAACAATAGAAGAATATAGAAAAGCAATACCATCTTTGTGAAATAACAAGTTAATGTACATAGATTAACTGTTAAATCAAAACCCTACAAAGTTTGGAAAGTGGGAAATGATTCAACTTATCCAATATACTAGTAAAGGTTTTATTCCAGAATAGTATAATATTCTATAAAGAACCATAACTAAAAAAAGTATAGAAGATCTTACAACACTTTGAAAAAAGGGATGAAAAGAAAAGTGGCTACCAAAATGCACTAAACCTGAATCTGATAAAGATAAATGAAAGAAAACCTGGATAGTTACCCAGAATGAGAATCAACAAATAGTATTGAAAAAATTGATTCAAAAGAATAGTCAAGGTATTGTGATAATTCAATATTTCAACCATTAAGAAACAGAAGATGACCTAGAAACAGGTCTTACCAAATATGCAGGATACTCACTAAACAATAGAAATAGAAAGAAATATAATATAGAAATAAATCAGATTTAGTTTATAAAATACTTTTTTTTTTAAATGCTAGCTTATCCTTGTGTCAAAGTGAACAAGATTTATTTTAATAAACAAAAAACCTAGGGACAACCGGGATAAATAACTACCCATACTGTCTAAGAATTTACAGGTCAACAAATAGTACAAAGAGCTATCTATTTACATCTCACCTAACCAGGATAAGATAATTATATGACCGTCTAGTATAGGTATCTACTACCAAAAACAAACTATGAAAAGACAGGAAATATGTAAATACACACTGTATCAATTTTCTATTCTACACCTTGATACTCCCTAGAGCGTGACTATTGGCCGGCCCACCAAGCGGCTTATTGCTATCCCAAAAAGAGGGGGCTAATATGCCAAGGATTCACCTGGGATATCCAGCACCACTGATGTTGAGAACTACTTATGTGGAGCCTTAACTCCACTAGTGCTTAACCAAAAATTTTTAAAAAGAAAAAAGAGTTGTGTTCGAGTCAAATTTTGTTCAAAGAGACATAATATTGTTTAGCTGGTTATTGTAAGTGGTTCCAATGAGTGGATAGGAGTATCAAAACCCTCCAAAAAGATACTAGCCCTGAGTATGATGGTTGTGTTCACTGGAGAAGGAATACGGGTCAGGTTGTTTTCTATTCAAGGTAGCCTAATCCAGCCTTGTTCTTTCTGTGTAGCCAATTACATCATGATTTTCATATTCTGTATCCACCCGTGTGACTAGTATACAACTTATAGTGGATCCCAGGTTTTTATGGGTACTGAGAAAATGCATTCAGACACGTGAAGTGACCAATAGGAGCTTGTTTACTTCTTTTACTGATATGAGCTCTATCTGTCCAATCCTGGTATGAGAAACCTTGTGCTACTCAAAATTCAAGGTCAAACTGAGATAGGCAAAATCCCCCAGAAAAAATCAAAAACGAGTACTATGAGAAGTAAACATGATGACAAGAGAGTGGGAGAGTTGTCTCTTATCATCCACAGACTTCTATAGTATTTCTCTATGGTGTGAGATGACGGCACATTAGTTCTTCTTCCTTTTGGAACTTTTTTGCCTTTGGTAGGAAAGGTATTGTTTGACTTTCTGATCACTAGCAGTCAAGTTTTTGTTCAAAGGGAAGTAATAACAAGAAGAGAGGAAAGTGGTGATGACTCTTAAAATTTTTTCAAGTTGGTTTAAGGAAAGTTTTAAGACTTTATTAACATAGAAGTATGAAAACTTCTTGTGAACGTCTTTTTTGTGTGTGGTTAGAGAATCAGCGAAAAAAGTTTTCCCATTTATTGTTTATACTATACCATTTTTAAACTATCAAAAAAATATTAGAAGAGTACAATCACTAAAAGTTTTTTGTTCCCTATTGGAACTAGATAGTATAATAATCAAGAGTATAGTCCCAGAAATTCAAAATCCAACAAATGACTAAGTTGAAAAAATAAAACAAGTATTAATAGGAAATTGGGAACAAGAAATACTCAGAGACAATGTTAAGCAAGGAGTATATCAAGATTACCTATTTGAAATTCTCCAGTGCAATCAAGGATCATAGAAAAAGCTAACCTTCTACTCTGATGGATCCTTAATCGACTATGGAAATGAGAATGCAAAAATGAGTACAGCATGGATATGAACAGAAGGAGCTGAAAAAGAAAGTAAATTTCAGACAGGAGTCAAAAACTGATCCTTGTCCACAAGGGTAGAACTGATAACACTAGTTACAATAGCTTTAGTAGCTCTGATAGACAGTACTGTCAAGATCTTTACAGATAGTCAAGTCTGTATCTCTAAATGGAAAAAGCTAGAGAAAGAAGACCCAAAAATGACACACAAAAGATAGCCAAAAGAAAAGAATTGATCATTATAGGCGAGAATACTAGATCTTATAAAGAAAAAGTATATCCAACTAACTTTGACCAAGGTTAAAGCCCACTCTAATGATCTATAGAATGAAGAAGCAGACTGACTGGTCAAAAAGGTATTAAATCTACTACCAATAGAATGGAAGAGTCTTAAATCAAGTAAGATACCATAGAAACTATGTGGCAAGAAGAAGTAATAGACAGTCCAATACGACAGTTCATCAAGCAAATCAATAAAAGATCAATGGCTCTATTATAGATACAGTAACACAAAATAGAGATAAAATGGCAGCATCAAGTTCATAAGCATCAAATCTACTTATGGAATCTGGTATGGGATAGGTTAAAAGATAGAAATACATGGGATACCCCCTTCAAAAGTTTATAGAAAAGAAGTTTTCTAGTCAAATTGACCAATGATGAACTATTTATCTTAAGCAAGCTAGTAATAAGAAGATTAGATCTATACAAGCAAGTAAGATATATAGTATATAATCAGCATTAAAAAACAATAGAATACCTATTAGAATACTCTGATCATAAAATTGAGATCCTAGCGGCATGATGAAAAGGATCTGAGACTTTTTTTAAAGAATTCGACAAGTTGTATCAAGAACGTAAGAGGAAAGCAGATAAAAAAATAGTACACCTAATAGTTGACAATAGAAAAGAAAAAGACGAATTAGATAAATGGGCTTTCAGACTAATAGAATCAACCTCACAAACCAGTTCAAGTACTCTTAACTTTTGCGCAGGATTAGTAGAAAGTAACACAATCAAAGAAACTGCCAACCTAAACTGCTATAAAAAGAAGCTGAAAACAATGGCAAAAAAATAGATTTTAAAAGTATAAAAGAAGATTTGCAACCAGATCCGAAAACAAGTTTGAAACATAAAATGTAAAAAGATTATTGAATGGGAACAAGAACAAAGAATTGATAGAAAAGTAAAATATAAGAAGGTCCAGAAAGCAAGAAGGCAAGACCCACAAGATAATCCTAGTCTTAAAAGCATAAGGCAAAGAGAAGAAGTGAAAGAGAGGAAAAACAAAAACCTGATAGAAATTATAAGAAATAGAATTAAATATGGGATGAAGTGGTTGGATTTTGATCCTTATTAGAACCATGTACAGTGATTTGCAGCAATGACTTGTGAGCAATAATATTAGAAGTTGAAAAGGTTTCTATTTGAATTATTAACGGAGTGATAAATCACTCCCGAAATTATACTTAAAGTCCTAGATAAATATAAGACTTTGATAAGTGAGTTAGTTAAAGATTTAACTTTAGCAATACATATATAATATATAGCTTACAATTGTTTAATAAAGTACATATAACTAGCCTGATAAAGGGTTATTTAAAAATAAAAATAATAATAATATAATTTTTTACTAAAAATATTAAAGTTTTTAAATTAATAATTATAAAAATACTATTCATAATAAATGTTTCTTCATTATCTAAATCATTGATTTATAATATTTTCTAAATTTTATTTCTATTAAAGTAAAAAGATATGAATTTTTGATTTTCAAAAAATATAACTGATCTGCGAAATTTTATTAAACTTTGGTATTATAATTCTGGCTAACATTAGATTTGTAATTTCAGTAAAATTAAGATTTGTAATTCCGGCTAACATTAGATTATAATTTGATATCACCGTGATGATAGCACCACCTATATTGATACTCTAATATATTAAATATATTAAATATAAATTATTATATTATTTAACAATAAAATTATAATCAAAAAATTTTGTTTCTTAAGCCTCCTATATAAGTAGTAACAAATGTCATGCAATTATCATAACCATGCAAGGTGTAATTCTTTTTCCTTGTTAAAACAAAACAGCAACAAACCGATTTGTTAGTTTATTAATCTAATAGTCCAATAGCTTTACACATCTACTTTCTACAAACTTTGAAAACCTCATACTCATCAACCGAAAATAAAGTTGAATCAGTAACGCCATCAAGATAATCATCCTTTTGGCAAGAGCAACTACCTTCCATGTTGAAGACACCTTTCATCGAAAGATCTCTATCACCAAAACACGGGCCATACTCCATTCCGTTAAATCTTATCGCATAATAAGATCTTTGTCTTGATACGCGACTCAATTTTGCATCTTCTATCGCGCCACGATGACCAAAGGTAAATATGAAACTATCTTCTGTATTCCAATATCCATCTCTTACCATCCACGTAATTGGACTGAATCCTCCAATGATTTCTCCAGTATCGTGGATTTTCATCACTACCACAGTTTTACCTTTATCGTCACACCTTTCATGAAAGGTGCTTGAATCAAATCCATCTCTCGTGCCCCTAATCAGTAATTGAAATCTATAGGGAATCTCTTCGTATAAGTATCTTTTTTGCCCTAGTCTGTCTATCCAACTAGAGAGCAGTGCGGCGTGGCAAGGCCGAATGAGCGCAGAATCAAATTGTAGCCTCTTTGCAAATACAACAGGTTGTGGTGGACAGGACGGTTTCAAATGGTATCTCATGCTATCCTCCAACATGTGCACAGGTAAAATGTTTCTGTACGGCCACACTTTGTCGAAAAAATCGGACGAAGAAATTTGTGAGAATCCAATATACGGCATGCAGTTTTTCAGTTTCTTGGCAAGGGCATCGAAATCGTCGGTAGTCCAATTGGTTATGTGAGTTTGTGGCAAGAGTGGGGTTTGCGCTATTCCCCACCGGATTATGTGGTTCCAAATTTCAACCTCACTAATTTGCAGATTATCCAATTTCAAGAATGGAATAAGTAATGTCTCGTCCATCGTCAAGAATTCATCGGAATCGAAAAGATAGCGAGGTTCTTTGCAAATCAGTTGAAGGCAATACTCCTGAAGTTTACGGCATGACTCATATTGGTGAATCTTTCTCCAAAGTACTATTATATTGTCCTTTAGCCATCCAGCCTCCTGACAAAGAAGGTATTCTTGTACATAATCTGACAACTCCGATAATAATAATTCGTCGGTTGCCACCAAAAGTTCGAGGGCATCCGCAATACTCTTGTTTTGTAGTGAAACTTCTCCGCTGTATATAAATCTGGGGAAAATCAAGATGATGGCTGTCAGAAGAAAGCGGAAAAAAAGAAGCACTCATTTCTTTTTTGATAAAGGGAATGCTCACTGGAGGATGGTATCGAAGACTTTTGGTGCTATGTTCGGTTTTGAGAACGTCATAACATCACCATCCCTTTTCGCCCATTTTTTTGAGAGCGCCGTGCGAAAATAAGGTGATCTGGCTCTTAAAATAATAGAGTGAGCATAAAAACGTTGAGAATTAGGAGGTTGACCAACTTGAATTACGACGTTATATTCATCTAAATCACCGTCATCATTTAATAGGCTACCGATATCGTGTGCCAAAGTTGCCCGAAATTTTGACGTCGACATTTTTTCCCAATGCTTGCTACGTATATACAGGATGTATATATATATATATTTTTTTATTATTATTTCACTTCCACTTTCTATTGATCCAATAACGAGAAGAATTGGCTGATTTTTAAAAAATTCATATTGTCAACCTCATGTCATATAAACTCGATTTAGGAAATGATTTGTACAGTTAAATCATGTGACCTTTCACGTGATAATCACAAAGCGGTGTGCAAGCAAAGGATCGGCCCGCGAATTTATCCGCATCTCTCGTATACTTGATTGCTTGATAAAGATAATCTACATCACGAACCCTCGGACCTCAAAAAAGTGGAGTGCATATAATTACATGTCCATATTGTCCATATCCTGGTAACATTATCTTGAGAGTTGATATTCAAAAATACGCGTGGGAAAACTTTTTCACATCTAAATTCACGAGACGGACTATTTCGGGTCATCAACTTATCATGTGAAACACGTGCCATGTCAAGAGTACTATAATTAGGTTGTGTACGCGTTGCACTGCTAAAGCCAATTGACCAATAAATTGCACCATTCTTATTCTTATCTTATCGCCAAATCTATTCACTGTATTTTCTGTGTGCGTACGCACGTATTCATATTCAATTTATTCATTAGATTTGGCTTATTGATAACCGATAAATGTCCCTCACTTAAAATTTTCTTTTTTTTTTCTTTTTCTTTTTTCTTTATTGAATTCAAGTTTTTTGATAAACAATTTTTCGAACTCGTTTATGATATTTTCTTTTCAATCCTCTTGACATTATTTTCTTCTGACGCGTGTCTTCTTTCACTTGCCTATTATATTATTTTTACATTATTAGAATCAATACAATTCAATGAGCAGATATATAGACTTTGCTACATTCCTCGCGCAACAAAGTTTACGTCCAATATTTCGACCTAAAGACAAAACTATTCTCACCAGGGGACGACGACTATCTTCTTCTTTCATTAGTTCGTCGACTCCTATTTCGCGTCCCGCACACCTCGGATCCACCTCGTCCGTCAAAACCTCAATACCTTCACCTTTTCTACATCATGACCCACTGATTCCAAGATCAACAAATTTTTCTTTGTCTCCTCCCTCACACAAAATTATTCGTCGATTGTTTCATGACAAATCTTCAAAGAGTCGATCGATAATACGAACATTCAAATCTCATTCCAAACCTCAAAAGTTTCTGGAAACATCTACTAACCTAGAGTCCATCTCAAACGCTCACTTACTGAGCCTTTTGGAACAGCCATTTACTTCGTCACAGAATCCCTATCTGTTTACACACGGGGCATCCGGAATACCAAAACATACCGATCAACTGGTTTCTACACCGAACGATGGAAAATATTTCAGTGTCGGTTGCGGTGAGGATAGCTTCTTTCGAAGACACGATTCTTTAGGCGTTGCGGATGGAATTGGCGGATGGCGAAACGTTGCGCCATTGCGAAATTCTGGTAAATTATTTGTTTATTTGCCGACGGTATCTCTTCGAGAACTCTTGTGGTGATCTATCGTGATAATATTAGAACTATTCATTTGGTTTCTCTCTCTTTTATTCGGACTCTTCAAACAACTTATTCTGACTCTCTCGTTACCGATCGATTGACAGTTCCCGATTCAGCCCTATACTCCAGGAAGTTGATGCATTATGCATATCTTGAACTCGAAAAGTATGACAACGTTGATGACGAAAAGTTCTACCAGTACAACGAAGTCGATCCGGTGGACATTCTACGAACGAGCTACGAACAATGTATACGGGATTGTACAATGGAGGTAACTAAACGCGTTTACTATTTTTCGAGCAACGCACTCGCGATTTGACGAGGTTGACAAATTTAATTTCGTTTTATAAAATATTAAAGGGCATAATCGGTTCTTCAACCGCATTAATAGCCATCCTGCGGGAAGATGAACTTCGAATCGCAAACCTCGGCGATTGTGGCATTAGCATCATTCGAAGGAATGATTTCACTTTTCGTAGCGAAGAGCAACAACACTCTTTCAATTTCCCATATCAGTTGGGCACCGGATCATTCGATACACCTCAAGATGCACAAAGGTACACAATTAAAGTTCAATGCGGAGACATTGTTATACTCGGATCGGATGGAATTTTTGATAACCTATTTGAGGAGGATATATTAGAGGAGATTGATCGTTTCTTCTGTCCAAGGACAGGTACCCCGAGTGTCCATCCGCAAATGATCAGTGAGGCACTAGCATATCGAGCAAAAAATGCAAGCGAGGATCTTAATAACCCGAGTCCGTTTCAAAGCCGCGCTATGCAAGAAGGCTTATACTATCTGGGCGGAAAGAAAGATGATATAAGCGTCCTTGTGGGCATTGTAACGGACTCCAAAGATTTTTCAAACTGATTGCTCCATTCGCACACAGAATTACCACAGCAACTTATGATTGACAATTGTTCACGATTGGTGTAGTATGAGAGAATAAATCAAACTCTAAGCCAAGGTCAAAATATGCGTACAAATATTTTCCCCATTCTTTTTAACAACATTATCCGCTGTTTGTCGTCTCGAATAAAAGCCTTTTAAAAAATTTTAAGTAAGAGGCCATCAAGCACGTGTTAAAAGCCGGTTTGCAAATACTTTTATGGGTTAGCTTAATAATTCACACATTGAATGCGTTCCACATTAACTTCCTAGTATGGTCCAAGCTTGCGCCGAGTTATTAAATTATAATAGCTTAATTCAGGTAAGTTCAAGGGCCAGCCAGTTTGATTATGGAAATACTGTAGTTGTTGTTGTATTTAAGTTTTTTTTTTGTAACAGCCACATTGATCAAGTCAATTGTTGCATAATTTTTTGATCACTTCTTTTTGTTAAATTGAGTCGGGTTGATTTGATGCGAATAAATGAACTTTAAATAATCAAAAAATCAATAATATTTGTTCAAGTTATTCATTTATTTACATTATAACGTACGGTATATCCGATTAAAGAAACTTTTATTCCAAGTATCATTTTATAAATAATCAAAATAAACTTTTTTCGCGGGCACCACATTTCAATCCCGATTTCCGTTCTCGTGAGAATCTTTTCGTATAACAGAGCGACGATCAATCCATTTGGTACAATGTAGAAATCAGGATTGTATGAAAAAATTTGACGACATGGAAAACTGTTTATTGTTTAGCAAATATAGGAAAAATAATATAATGATAATGATAATTATAATAACAAATATTATTATATTATTATTGAAAACTTTAAAAATCTTATTATACTTGAGATACATATATTTATTTACAGTATATACTATGTTCTTACAAGTATTATGTAATATAGTATATACACCGTACTGTATACGTAACTGTATGTATGTCGTTGTATCGTACACCATACATAAATTACCTATACTATAAAAGTGTGTGTGCCTATGGAGTGAGAGAACCTAAAAGATTTCATTTGATAAAGATGACCTATGGGAAAGCTAAACGTGTCGGCGAAAAAGAAAAGAAAAAAAAAATGCATTACCCGAAAATGGTTGGCACCTCGAATGTATCGGCCTACGACTTACCTCACCTCCTTCCAAACTAATTTTAAAAAAAAACTGGTTCCAAGAAATCCGTAATCTGAGAATGTAGATTTGTTTGTCTCCATGCTATTCTATCGGTTATATCATGTCATCGGCCCTAGACATTTTGAGCATGTATGCTCCCATAAATGGCAAGCATGTGCTGAATCACCGGATTAATATGCGCACCTAATATGTAATCGTTGCATAATTATCATTAAATCAGTGCATTATTGTTGAAGAAAAAAAAAAATTATACATATTGTACATATAGTGTATATTTATATATATATATATATATACAACGTTGATATTTAAAATTATTAAAATTTCCTCATTCTATGATCTACAACTCGAGGAATAAATAAAGTAAAAGTCAGATATAAACATTAATAATGTGCCACAAGTAGCACCTAAATTTAAACTCTATTTTTTTTCTTTTTGAATTCACCTTGTACATTTACATTTGATTCTCGCTTATTTGCACGAATGGGTCAATCTCATAGCAACGGTGGTGGTGGCGAAAATCGTCGCCATCGTGAAAACAAACGTGTAGGCAGTGGACCTCCGAGCAGAAACCACTCGCCTTGTGTCGTTCCAGACAGGATTGCGTTGGAATTGGAGAGGAAGAGTTTTACGAATATCGAAAGTTTTTCATTGCAGAACATTTTTGAAAATTTATCTAGTACCGACGAGAACGGAATCAGATTTATCGATGAAGAGTCTTTCACCGTAAGCAAAATAATCTCGTGTACATTTATTTTCTAATCACTCCATTCTAACTTGTAAATGAATAGTGTTACATAGGATTTCCGGAAGCGATTGAAATTGGACCAATCATCTATCGTTCGTTCACATATCTTGCCAGTTATCCAAATTGTAAACACTCCAACATGCCGCTAACCTACGATGGACTTTTGAAAGCTGTCGCCGTCTACTGCGACAAATGTAAAGATGTGATCAGGGGGGATCGAACGAAACTTCTTTTTGATTCATTTTCTATCTCTAAGGATGATAAACATGGTAAACTCTCTCATGCGTCGGAAACTCCTGAATCATCAAGCATTCAAGTTGAAGATGAGTCGGATCTCTCGAAAATTCCTGACTCGGACGAATCAAGTAGAAGTGTTACCGAAGTAGAATTTGGCGACATGTGGCTATTGTTGACAGGGATTTTTTGGTTGACGGATAGTGAAATTGTAATTTCTTCAGCAAAAGCCGAAAAAGTTTCTTCAATTCTTATGGAAAATAAAGTGTCGCCAGAGGATGTCGATGAAATTCGCAAGATCACGGTTAAGGTGGTTGAATCAATGGCACGATACGATGCTAGTATAAAAAATCTCAAATCAGAGGAAATATCAAAAGAAACAATCAAGTGGCCAGTGTTTAGGGATTTTGTAAATAGGAACACCCCAAATTTATTTCGCGGGTTCTCGCCATTTTTCTACGCCCACTTCTGCATCGGTCAAACCCTATCTCAAAATCGAGGCACATTATTAATTAAGCCGTACGCAAATTACTGGCCAACCCTAGATGGTCCATCGGAACTGCTAAGCTCCAAAAACATGGAGTTGTTGCTATGGATGTTACCAGAAAAGGCAGTTGCGGGAGGAGAGTGGAACATTTTGTACACCGGAAGCAAACACGGTTTCAGCATGAACCGTTTTGAAAGTCACGTATTCAAGTATCCAGGACCAACCGTAATTCTGATTCATGCAGAAACCATACCGCCAAAAAGGAATAGCAGCAGGTTGTTGGGTCCCGGAACAAGTTCAGGTCAAGGTGAAGGAACTTCACCGCAATCCATTATTTTGGGTGCATATGTGGCGGAACGTTGGCGCTCAACAAGCTCGGCAAAACAATGTTTCGGGTCGGATGGGTGTTTTCTATTTGAGCTATTTCCAACGTATGAAGCTTTTCACACCATCAAGAAGAACGCGAATTATGCTTATTATAATACATCAGTGGGAATTGGATTTGGCGGATTGGCCACATCTGGATTGGCATCGAGTAAGATTGAGAACATGGAGAAGAATTCTTTCGTTCTGCAACTTGATAACACCCTACAGTTTGGGAGATTTCGGGTTGATCCGTTGAGCGATCTTGCTCCCACGTATTCGTTTTCGGCGGTTAGTGATTAATGTTCATTACGGTTCCCTTTTCTTCTCTTTCTAACCATTTTATTTATCAACCAATTAGACGCGGTCATTCATCGATGTCGCATTCGAAGTACTAGGTTTGTGAAAAATTAAAGTGTTGCGAGTGTTTACTTAATCCATTAGCTTATCATTTCGAATTCTTCCCGTTCCCAGAAATTGAGGTCGTGGGAACTGAAGGAACCAAGGCCAAGGAGAAGCAAGAGAAAGAATGGAGATGGGAGGAAAACGAGGCGACCAGGAGAAGGAGCCTTCGAAGAAATACTTCCTCTAAATCTATTGATAAGGAAATTCTAAAGGTCCGAATTCTTTACTCGAGTTTTCTTCAGACCTATGATTTGATATATTTCTAAATTACTTCTTCTTTTGTTCTTTTCCATTTCCGTGACCTAGCTTGCTGGCATTATCGGTGATTCAAGATGAAAAAAAGTTTCTTACCTGTTGTACATATTGAAAGAACCAACATTTAACATCTTTATTTCGATTCACATCGAAATAGTATTTGTGTGAAAAATAACGCAATAAAAAAAAAGAAAATTAAAAATTAAAATGCACATTCACGTGATAAAAGAAACTTGTATTTGCTTTTTTTGTAATGTAACACTATTCATGCATATGATCTTGATAACAAAAAAAAAAAAAATTTCTCCGGTAATCACTAACCAAAGATGGCCCACATTATTAAAGCTTTTTCCACTACAGCTCCACGACATGCAAAAAAACTAACAATCGGCCTAATACCGGCCGATGGTATTGGAAAAGAAGTTATCCCCGTATGTATTTCACATTACTCGCTATTTTACTTTTCTTTATTTATCCACCGGCATTTTATTAAACAGGCTGCAAGGCAAGTTCTTGAAGCCCTCCCAAGTAACGACAACCTGAAATTCAATTTTATCGACCTAAACGCGGGCTTCGAATATTTTCAAAAGAATGGAACAGCTTTACCCCAGGAAACTCTGGATGTTTTGAAGAATGAATGTTCCGGTGCACTTTTCGGAGCTGTTAGGTATTCGAAACCAGCCAGTCACATAAACCAAATGATCTAAGGATAATGATAAATATCTGATGTTAACTTTAGCTCTCCGTCTCATAAAGTTGCTGGTTACTCTTCTCCCATTGTTGCATTAAGAAAACATCTTGATCTTTATGCGAATGTTAGACCTGTCGCATCAGTTGCGTCAGATAAGAATCCTAATCAAAAGCCGATAGATATCCTGATTATTAGGGAGAACACTGAATGCCTGGTGAGAAAATTTTTTTATAAACCTCCCCCACAAATTTTATCTTCTTACACGGACAATTTCGCTTTTTACTCGATCCTGAAAACGCAAATTAGTATATCAAGCAAGAACGTCAAACAATAGATGAAACGACAGGCCTAAAAGTTGCATGGGCGGATCGAAAAATCTCAGAGTATGCGTCACGTAGGTGTGGTAAAATAGCATTCGAGATGGCGTTGGGAAGGGGTAAAATACGACAAGGCATACCACTAGAGAAAAGATTATGGAAGGAGAGACCAAGGGTGACGATCGTTCACAAATCAAATGTGCTGAGCATCACGGATGGTTTATGGCGAGAGACTGTTAGAAGTGTTAAAGAGAATGACCGCAAGTATGACGATGTTGACATGGATGAACAGCTTGTTGATTCGATGGTGTATGCGTTTAATGTTTCTTTTGCGAATCATTTTATATTGCGGGAATTTGGTAGATTAACTTTACTTTCCACGAAATTGGTCGGTGTTTAAAGATATCGACTTTTCCGGGAGCCGCACGCATTTGATGTCGTTGTCGCACCAAACTTATATGGGGATATTATCAGGTTGATTTATAATAATATAATAATGCGAAAAAATTTCTCTGAATCAACCTTTCTAATGCTTGCGATCCTTTAGCGATGGAGCTGCTGCATTGGTGGGTAGCTTAGGCGTCGTCCCAAGTGCAAACGTTGGTGACAATATTGTTGTCGGTGAACCAGGTACTTGTTGATGAATATACTTTCAATCAACATGATCGTAATTTTAAATTTTTTATTTTCCATGGAATAGTTCATGGTTCAGCTCCAGATATTGCTGGGCAAAATAAAGCAAATCCGATTGCGGCAATTCGCAGTGCTGGATTGTTATTGGAGCACCTGGAATTACACCAACAAGCACGCTCGATTTACAACGCCGTGGATAATGTACTCAGAATCGGCGAACCTTTGACACCCGACCTAGGTGGATGTGCTACAACCCAACAGGTCACTGATGCCGTTATTAAATATCTATAGTGGTGATTGAACAATATGAACCATCATATTGTAGCTATTCTACGATTTGGTAACATTGAACGCATATAAAATTAACTTGGTTCACAATGTTTTTCTAATCATTTATTTATTAAGATAAATTTTGTTTAATAAATTATACCGATTCTTTTTTTTTTTTTTTTATTTATGCAAGTTATATAATTCAGGTCATATTATAAATCAAATAGATAATAATTTTTGTTTTAGTTCTTAGTTCTCTGAATGTTTTATTTATTTATGCATCAGTAAAAAAAATTTTTTTTTGCAAATTTATAAATATAACATTTAACAAAGGCTTGTAAAAGTTTGAGCTATTGTTTTTTTTTTATAATTTAATAGTAGATTAATGGAATCTTTAAAATAAAAAATTGCAAAATTCTTTAAATATTATATATTCTTATGATATTATTAAATCTTGATTTCTTTTTTAATTAAAAATAAGATTATAGACAAGTTTTTTTCGGATGGTTAAAAGAAATGATAATACTTTACTAGAATAATTCTTTCAAGAAGATATTTTTAATTATAATATATTGATATATTATATATACTTTCTTTTTCTTATATAAATTTAACTTTAATAATTTAACAATTAATAAAATTAATACCTTATTAACAATAAAATGGTATAAATTAAAAATTAATAGTAATCTACAAAAATATAATATTATTTTTTTAAATCAAATTGAAATATTTTAATTTAATAATATTATCTGAATAATTAAATCTAAACAAAATATAGAAAATATTTTCTAAAATATTAGATAATTCTATTTAATAAAAGGTTTTTTAATTAACAATAAAAAATTAGAAAATTATATATATATATTATTTATATAGAAACAAATAAAAATATTAAATATTAAAAAAAAAACTCTTTCTGCTGATTCTCTGACTATACACAAAAAAGATGTTCACAAGAAGTTTTATATTTCTTTACTAATAAAGTCTTTATATTTTCATTAAAACAACTTGAAGCTTGTCTTCATATATCTCTCCTACCTTTCCTTACTTATTTATAAACTCCTTTGAATAAAAACTTGAGCCTCTAGTGGCCTGAAAAAACTTAAGTACACACTTCCTCTATTAAGGACAAAAAAGTTCTAGAAAGTAAAAAAACTGACAAGTCGAGTGTCATCTTACAAAGCTAGAAGGGACAAGAAATAGAGGTTCCGTTAATAGAAGAAGACTTATTATCTATTTTCTCACATACTGTCTTATACCCTCTTAAAGTGTTTACTGTTTTTTACAGTTTTCTTGAGGGATTTTGCCTACCTCAGTTTGACCCTGAATTTTTGGTAGCACAACATCATCTGGCATTTGATTGATTAATATGAAACTTGTTAGTAACTAAATATAAACAAGCTCCTATTGGTCACCTTACATGTTCTGATAATGTTATTGATAATTGAAAAAGAAATCAAGGATATAAATTCCTCCATTCCTCCAAATAAAGTTTAATTGAAGCAAAGAAATAATAAGACCATTAGGATAGATACTAAATTTCCTAGATGGTGAAAAGATGATTATTTGTTCAAGCTGAAGCCTTCAACTTCTTATTATCCTGGTCAAGCAAAATATACAAAGGAGGTTATTTTCTTATCCTAGTCAGGCTATAAGATCCAAAAAGTAGAGAAATGTAAAACACTATCCTTTTCTAGAATTGAAAATATATTTCTCCAAATATTGTGTAATAATATTGCAATCAAGATAAACATCAGTAAAATTCTTTTAACTAAACATAGCTGTTGAAAGATATCAAGAGTTACTAAATAAGATTGAAAAGTCACATAAGAACCTGAGGTCTACTGTTAGTTATCTTCTTCTATATAGATGAATACAAAATTAAAAGAAAGGAAATATTAAGCAAGATATTGGATCCAAGTATGCAATAAGTATCTCAGATAGTTACAAGAAAATAATCAAGCGTATGGATGGATAAGTTCCTTAAATGGTCAAAAAAAATATCCTAGAAGAGTTAACTCTTAATAAGAAGAGATTTCTAGTAGAGATCCTTTGAAGAATATAGAGCATTTTTGATTTTTTTTTCTTTTCATTTTCACATAGTACATTTACATTTTTTTAGATACTTCCCTTTTCTTTTATTTTTCCTTTCTCCTTTTATAGTTTTCGAATTCAGTTTCTTGGAGAATAATAAGTAGTGCCAACTTGCTGACAATAATGGATAAGTTAGAAGAGTTTTATCCAAAACTTAGTTCAGAACAAAATATTGTTTTCAAGATTACACTTAGAGACTAAAGTTCTTTTGAGAATTGAAAGTTATTGACAAGTGTGTTAGTATAAGTCTTTTTAGTTTAGCTATGATACAATTGCCCTATGTATCTTTATCAGTTTTCATAATGATTAATAAATATATAATACTGGCCTAACCATGGATTTTTAAAAAAATAAAAATAAAAATAAAAATATTAAATATTATATACTATAAATAATAAGTTTTTAGAAAATAATTTTTTAAAAACTTTTTTTATTAATTCTTTGATCATATACAAAAAAGATATTCGCAAGAAGTTTTATACTTCCTTGCTAATAAAGTCTTTATATTTTCATTAAAACAATTTAAAGCTTGTTTTTATATATCTCTCCTATCCTTTTTTATTTGTTTATAAACTTCTTTGAATAAAAATTTGAGTCTCTAGTAGCCTGAAAAGACTCAAGTATGACTTCCTCTACTAAGGGCAAAAAGATTTTAGAAAGTAAAAAAATTATTAAGTAAAGTGTCACTTTATAGAGCTAGAAGTGACAAGAAATAGAGATTTTGTTAATAGGAAAAGGCTTATTATCTATCTTTTCATATACCATCTCTGTACACTCTTAAAGTGTCTATTGTTTTTACAGTTTTCTTGGAGGATTTTGTTTACCTCAGTTTGATCTTGAATTTTTGATAGTACAAGATCACCTGACATCTGATTGGTTAATATTAAACATGTTAATAATTAAATATAAACAAATCCTTACTGGTCACCTTACATATTCTGATAATGTCATTGATAAGTGAAAGAGTTGATTGCTATTCTGTATCCACTTCACTTCTCCAAATAGGTTAACTTACAGATCAAGTTCCATAAGGTTAATAAGATATGAGCAACAAGTCTCCAGGTGGTAAAAAAACTACTATTTATTCAAGCTAAGGTTTTTCTCTTCTATTATTTCAATTAGATAAAGTTCAAGACCTAAGTCTCCTTTTTATCCCAGTCAGGCAATAAAACTAAATGGTCTCTAGTCCATAATAAGCTTTAACCCTTTGATTGTAGTTGAGAATACATTTCCCTAAAAATTGTTAAAGGATATCATAATTGATAAGGATCTCCATCACTTTTGAGATTCTTTTACTATTACAAGACAAAAGAATTATTGAAGAATCTGATCTTTTATGTAATGAAAGATGTATATCAGTAAAATTCCTTTAATTGGGCATAGTTACTGAAAGGTATTATACTGAAATAATATAATTCAGTTTTTACTAGGTCACATAAGAATCTAGGGTTTATTATAAGTCATCTTCTTATTACAGATGAATAAAAAATTACTACCTAAAGAAGGTTGGGACCAAGTGTGTTCTAGAAGTAAAGGCTCCCACTAAATGATAAGTCTCCTCAAATAATATACAAAAAGAAAATCAAAATTAAAAATAAATAAGTTCCTCAGATAATCAGAAAAAGAAAGAATATTTCAATCAGATATTTCTTATTAAGAAGAAATTTTGAGAAGTAGGTCTTTAAAGAAAACTAGAAATATTTTTTTTTCAATTTTACTTTTTTATTTTTGTTGTCTATTTAGATATTTTAAATATTCCCCTTCCCCTTTTTTTCAATCCATTCTTTTATAGTTTCCTGTATTTTAGAAGCTTAATATAACATATAACAGTGTTAAACTGTTGACAATAATATAGTGAACTAGAAGGGTTTTTATCCAAAGACACTGTAAAGAAAAATATTGTTTTGAACTTAAAGACTTTTATGCTTATGACAGATTAATTAGATTAGAAATAATAGTTTAGCTATAATATATATCATACTGCTCAAATAAAAATGTACTTATATAGGATGAGTTTATATTAAAAAACTCTTTCCGCTGATTCACTATTTTTCTAAAAATTTCCTTTTTTGGTAATTGTTTAGAAAAAAAAGGATAACACATTTCAAGCTTAGCAAACACAGTAAAGAGAAACACAACCACATCACCCCACTTGGAGCAACACATAAAGCTTCATAAACAAGCCATCAGGAAAAGAGTACATAATAATAACATTAGTACTTTATCCACCAACTTTTGAGAAAAAGGAAAAACAAAAGTAAATCTAAATTACAGTAAGGCCAAGGGACCCAACATCAACTCTCCTAGCTTCCAACCAGGCCAGTGCAGATTTACACCTTTCTA